GACCCCGGCGCGCCGGACTCGAGCCGGGACGGGGCGCTCCTCATCGCCGGCTCCGAGAGCACCAAGCGGGGCAGCATCCTCAGCAAGCCGCGCTCCGGCGTCTCGGGCGGCGGCAAGCCCCCCAAGAGGAATGCTTTCTACCGCAAGCTGCAAAATTTCCTCTACAACGTGCTCGAGAGACCGCGGGGCTGGGCGTTCATCTACCACGCATATGTGTGAGTGAAGGGGGGGACTGGGAGCAGGGGTGGTCGCGGCCGGGACCCCCCTTCCCCTTGTTTATTCCCGCAGTGCTCACGGGGAGCCTGGGCACCCTGCGCTGTCCAGGGCACCCTGTGCCCAGCCTGCACCGTCCAGGGAGGGGGTGTGTGATGGTGAGGGGGGGGATGCTGGAGACCCAGGAAGGGACCAAGCTGCACCCAGGGCCGGGCCCTGCACCGGTTGCCCCAGCGCGTGGGGCAAGAGGAGGCTTCTGCAGTGCCGGGGCTGGAGCGGCAGCGGGGATGGGTAGGGACGGTGTCTCCGTCTCGCTTTGCGATCACCATAGCAATGCTGGGAGAAGCGAGGAACAAAAAGCGCTGCTCAGGCACCCGTTCTCCTTCCCAACCCCCCCTTCTCCTCTGTCCCCATCTTGGGCTTGGGGTTTGGGGGTGTTTTGGTGGCCCTACACTGGCTTCTGAAGGGTTTTATGTTCCCTCCGCCTCTGTGGGAAGCGTCTGAATTGGAGATGTGTCTAGAAAGAAATGCTAATCAGTGTCTGGGGCTTCCTGAGGCTGGGAGCAGGAGCGGTAAACAAAGGAGCATCCCGGGGTGCGCGTCTCCCCTCTCTTTTATTTTTGTCACCAGAAATGGTCACACCTGACCCACCGTTTGGCCAACAAACACCCCCTTGGAGGGCTTTGCTGCATGAGGAGCACCGGTGACTTCTGTTGTTTCAGGGATTACAAAAGGAGGGTCAGGATAAATTGCTGCGTTGATGCAACTCCCTCCCTTCTGGGACTGTCCCTGGTCCCACCAGGCTCTTCTGCATGCCTGGGTGCCATGAGACAGGCACTCAGGTGCTCTGTTCCTTGGTCTAGGTGTTTTTCGTGTGTACATGGTTTCCAGGCTGGTTAGGGCCTCTCTCAGCCTTGACAAGGGGATTTTTTTCTCTCTATTCTTCTCTTTGCTTTTGCATAATAATAGTCGCAAACAAGGTGGTGGCTTTCCTGAGCAACATTTTCTGGTGCTCAGCCATTTTGTACATTGAGGCCTTCTGGGGAGGCTTCAGTCCGAGAGATGAAATACTGCCTGGGTTGAAGGGAAGTGGGAGCCTTGTACCCTCAAAGGGGCTTGAGTTATTGTGGGAGCTTGTCTTCTGCACAGGAAGATGGGAAAGGGTAGAAGGGAGGAACTGTGGAGCTCACTTGCTGCTCCAGTTAGCAGACCTGAGTCCAGCACCAGGAGTCCTGAGCATCCTCCGTGCTCAGTGGGGCCCCCTCTGGATCTGGAAGTGGCTTGTGTTGTGAAATCCTGCAGGATTTTGCAGGTGGATCAGGAGCTTGTGTTGCCTGGCTTGTGGCAGATCCATCCTCGCGTTTGACATGGGCTGTGTGCTATGAAACCCTGGTGAAATCCCAGCGGGGCGATGCTGGGGTGGCAACGAGGGAAGTGCAAAGGGCTGAAAGCCAAGAAGCAGGCGCAGCCCAGGACTGCACGAGCTTTATAAGCTTCTTTGACGTCTTCAGCAACTCTGTCTTAACTTCAGATGTGTGTTGCTGTCCAGAGTGGCAGCTGGCAGTTGCTTGGGCCTGCTCCCCAACAGAGCTGTCACAGCAAGTGATGCTCACGAGGCAAGACTGGGTCACCCTGGCCAGGGCTTGCTTTCCCTTGCGTGCTGCCACCTGGCCTTGGCAGCTTGCTGATATATTACTTAAAAAATGCGATCATCATCACGCAAAGTTACTGGGATAAAGCCTATGCACCAGTTATTCCTTTAGCAGAGCACTGAGATTGCCCAAGTGAGACCAGCCCTGCTGTGTTTATAGTGTTTGTTGGAGAGGTGGGGGGATAGTGTCCAGGGTTTCTGTAAGCTGGACAGACAGTCAAAAGGCTTTAGTGCACAGGCACACCAAAAGTGACTGGTTCAAGGTCATAAAGTTTGTCTGGGAGAACTGAAGTCAGCCCAGGAGTCCTCGGTGCCAGTGCAGTGTCCCACCATGCTGCCTTCTGCCTGAAGCCCCATTTTGTGCTGGAGCCTTGAACAGGGACTTGCCATTCACCTTGATGCTGAGTGTGCAGGTGCTGGAGTCCTAAACGAGACTCTGGATCTGGGAGCCCCGTCCTGCTGGCTGGCTTGGACACTGCACGACATAATCCCTCCATAACTGGTGTCAGCCTAAAAAAATCACCCATCCCTCGGCTCCGCTTCTCCCATGGACTTTTTTGCGCTAAGAGTTAGGGAGCATTTCCAGCACAAGTGAGTCCTTGCCCTGCAGCACTGGATTATGGCTTGCACAGGCGGCTGCCCCTAGGCCCAGCTGCATTTCCAGGTGTGGAATCGGCTCCTATTACCCCCGGGTCTGTGTCCGCAGGCGTTTTGGCTCCCCAGGGCTCGCGAGCACGGGAGCTGCCTTGGCCGTGGCACAGCATGCAGCAGTGCCCGGGCAGCTCCTCCTCCGATCGCCTCCCTGCGTCTCGGCATTAAAGCACAAGCAGCGGCTCCTCCAGCCTAAAGGTGTTTAACAGATACGAGAGGTGCCCTCTGGAAGTGCCTCTAGTTAAATATGTGCCTGCAGAGGCTGATGTTGCACAGGGCATTTGGCTACCTTGGGATTTGGGTGCAAAGCATTTGTTCCCAGTGCTGCATCTTGGCTCCTGTTTGTCTGTTTTCTTTCTCTTTTTTTTTTTTTTTCCTTTCTGTTGCTGCTCATTCCCCTTTGCACCATTTAATGCATGAGAAAATAGGGAAATTCCATGCAAATTCCGCCCCCCAACCCCGGCTCTAGTTTATCATTGCAGCCTCATCTCAGACGTGTCTGTAAGAAGGGTATTAACCTCCACGAGCAAAGGCAGCCTTTTACATTCCTGTGTTGTGGTTTGATTTTTGTACTTAACAGCTCCTCCCACACCGACTCTTCCTGGTGACCTGTTCATGATATATATGTATGCACACATAAATATATATTTATGTCCCCTAAGCCAGGGCACTGGTGCCAGCTTTACCTGCCCAGCCCTGCATCCCTATGGGTGGTTAAGCCTGGTAGGGCCTCCTTTTGGAGTGTGGCTGGAGGTGGATCCCAAGTCGTGGGTGTCTAGGCCTCCTGTATCCCAGGGAGCTTGGGAAGATGGGAATCTTCCAATCCTCTCGGATTCAGGCTTTTTCTTTTCTTTTTTTTCTTCTTTTTTTTTTTTTTCCTCTCCTTTGGTGGGCAGAGCCTTAGTGCTGCAGCACGTGGCCTCGTTCTGCTCGATCTGCAGCTGAAATTTGAAAAGTTGAGCCCTGCATAAAGGACAGCCTAGGTTTTCAGTGGAAGGTTCTCTGCTCAAGGAGACCTTTTACCTCCAAAATGATTCTGTTTTACTACTTTTGATGGTCCAAAAATATTTTTTTCTCCTTGTCTTTGTCCCTTGCTCACCGTAACCTGCTCTGTATTTTCTGAGTTCCCAGCTCCAACAGCTGAAAGTGATTTTTTTTTTTTCTCTGCCTCTCATCTCCCCCTTTTTTCTTTCCCTCCCCTACCATGCATTTTATTTCAGGAGAGACTGTTATGCTCAGTGCTAATCCAAGCCAGGTGCTTATGCTGGCGCCCACCTAACCTAAATGTGTCTGGAGATGCTTTTCCTGATCATCCGTGTGAGCTGCTCGCGTTCAGCTCCTGAGCTCAAGGGAGGGCTAGGCTTGAGGCAGGAATAAGAAAGTGCAAAATATCCCCTTGCTTAGACACTTCTAAAGCTGTGCGGGCAGGGCAAATGAAATTCTTGCATTTCCTGTTTTCTGACTTTGAATTTGCAACCTGAATGTGTCTTCTAGGTGAGTTAAAAATAGTTTGGGTGCATTTTTCCTCTGCATAGTGTGTACCATGCACTGAGTTAATTAAGCATGGGCATGGCTTTAAATTCCAATGAAGGTGGTGGTTTGCACTTGCTCTGCCTAATGTGATTATAATTTTCTCTTGCTGTGCCTGAACCACTTTTCCTTTGCCATTTGAGCCCTATGTCAGGTCCATCTCCCAAAAGCTGGAAATCTCCAGCTGTTTTGCTGCTGCCTTATTTGGATTTTGTATCAGTTCTTTTTTTGCACTTTATTTTTTTTTAGTATTTGCTTTAAAGCATTCTCTGACTGTGAATAAATGTTGTTTTTTCCCATGTTGCTCAGCCTCAAGCCCAGGGGGCTCATGGTTCATGGCAAGTGCTTGCCCACAGTGACACATCCACCTACAGTCGCAGTGTCCCCAACCTTTCAGCCCATCTGTCACTGACCGGCAGGGCCACCCTCATCCCAGTGCTGTACTCGCTTATGCAAGTGTGGTCTGTTTGCTTGGGCTGCTGCTGCCAGCTCAAACATGCTGATGCTGAGTGTGCCAGCCTGTAAGGAAAAGGGAATATCGGTGCCAGGTCTGTGATGTGCTCCAGGAGCCGGGATGCTGGGTCAGCTCTGCGCAGGCTGAAGTGCTGTGCTGGGCAATCGGAGGCTTCTTCTTGTTCCTACCTGGGATAAAGCTGCATCTTGCAGGAGAGATGGAGCCAGCCTGGGCTCCCTCTGCATCTCCTTCCAGGCTGCTTCCTCACCCTTAATGCCATCCTTCCCTCTCTTGATATTGGGTGACAGAGAAGGTTGTGAAGGGACATGCAGATTTATGGTAGAGCATGAGCTATAGTCATCCTCCTTTTTATCTCATCTCAACACAGACATATTCTCTTAGTTGTTGTACCTTGTCTTCCAGCACTAGCCCTTGTGTTTGCTGTCCTGCCAAGGAGAACTAGCTAAAACCACTTGGAAAGCACATGAATGTCATGGGAGGAGGTTGAGGCTGATGCAGAGTCTTTGGATCACAGTTTCCCTGGAACGCTCCTCATGACTGTTTCCCCCATTTGGAGACTGTGTCCTTGCTGCAGGACAGTGTGGGCAGGCAGGGACAGGCCTTGCTGTTTGGGAATTAGTCTTGGAATCCTGAAATTGGTTTATAGGAGCATCTGTGCATGGGTCTGGCTCCCTGCAAAATTATGCAGCACTAGC